TGACCAGGTTGCTCAATATTCCATCCAACCTGGCCTTGAACTCTGCCAGGGATGGGGCATCCACAGCTTCCCTGGGCAGCCTGTTCCTTTGCCTCAACACCCTCACAGTAAAGGATTTCTTCTGTTTATCTAATATAAATTTTCTCTCTTCAGTTTGAACCATTAGTCATTGTCTTATCACCTTAATTCTTGATGAATATTCACTCATATAATTTTGAGTACTCAGGGAGATTTCTTCTGAAGAAAATGTTTCAGTGTTTCTTTAAGAAAAAACTAAAGCTTTAAAATATAAAAACCAAAACCAAAACCAAACAAACAAATTACACCCTCCCCCCCAAAACCACCAAAAATCCCAAAAAAACAAGAAAAACAATGAACAAAAAATCCACCCTAGAAATGGGAAATTAATGAATTATCCATGAGCTTTTGCTGAGGAGTAAAGGGTGTCTGGGAGTTTCAGCATTTTGTGTCACCTTGTAGACAGACACTGTTTTCCAAAGTCAGTTATGTGATGAAGAAGATATTAAGATTAAATGAGCAGTGCAGAACTCAAAAGCAAACCCATAATTATTAATAGATATTTAAATTGGCAGGCAATCGATTTTTAAATTGTCCTTTCACCCTTGTGTGTAACGGGGTTTGCTCACAGTGACAAATTAGCAGCAGCACTGTGCTGTGACTGTTTCTGCTGGAAGGTTCTCATTATCATTCAGGGGTTTTGCTGGCTCATCAGTGAATCGTGGACAGCATTTCCATTGCTGAAGTGTGGCCCAGAAACCAGAGAAAGGATCGGAAACAGAGTCTATAAAAGCCTTTTCTTAAATTCTAAGATGCATTGGGTTCTTGAATAGGACTGAGTTCTTTGGCCTCATTGTTATTATTTCTCATGTATTCCAGAGGAAGTGACAGTACACTCACCCCCTCCATCCCTCTCTTTAAATCTTAGTATTCTTCTTAATCTGTCAGGAAAATAAGAACAGTAACATGTAATGGACTGAAGGTGCTTTTTTTTTCTTAATTGAAAGGAACAATCCCCTTAATCCCAGTAGCACTGGGCTGAGATCTGAGGTTTTGATCCAACTTTCATTATTCACCAACATCTCCAAGATAATTATACCAGCAGCCTACAAGAGGACCAAGATAAGCATCTTCTCAGACAAATGATTTTCAGTTGCTAGTCAAAACATGAATCTATTTTGCAGTTGCTACTTGGCATTTGTTTTATAATTTCTTTTTCTTAATCAGAGTTCTAATTAGAACTAATTGCATTTTTGTCAGTCAAAATAGATATTTTTAAGACAGTAAAGCTTTCACGGAGCACATTGCTTTGCTACCATTTCCTATGGCAGAGGTTCTGTAACTCAAGAACACAAACTCCACTGAGACAGGGTGAAATCAATAAGAAAACTTAGAATTTTGGACCTTAAAATTCATATTTGTAGGCAGTCTTGTGTAATTTTACAAGACTCTGTTTGATAAAACAAAAGTAAATATGAGGTCTTCAAAGACTTCAAAACCTGATGAAGTGGGATTTTGTTTTTCATATTCTTCATGTTCTGACACTAGTTCTTGTCTTTGTTCAACACAATTCCACTCTGCTCATTTTTCAAATACCTTGCCCATATTTAGGATTCCTGAACAGTTTGGATTTTGTGCCACACACAGCTGATCACCTTTGAGAGCTTGTGTTCTAACAAACTTGTGACAAACCCTTTTGCCGCTTCTGGTATTTTCTCTTTTTCCACATTCAGAGTTCTCACATCATCGTTATTGTTTTTTAGAACCTGTGTTCATCTTTGTATTGTTACCAATGAACAAAGCATGTGAACTGAACTCATACTAGACTTTAAGAACAAATGCTAGCTTAAAATTCCAGGTGTCTTGGAGGGCAAAAAGGCCTTCTCAAGGTTTTAACCTTTTTTTTTTCAGGAAATTAGTATAATATCAAATAAGTGAAAATATGGAAGGTACAAACTGTTTTTCATGTTCACAAGAAATTGGTCGGTTGATAATGGGCTTAAATTTCATCAGGGAAAATTTTAGTTAGACATCAGAAAATATAGATTTAACCATGTTCATTTAGTTGAACATTAGAAGAGGAGGCCTGTGGACAGTCTACTATTTGAATATTTTACAATATGAATAGGCAAGCCTCTGTCAGGAATTGTTGGAGTAAATTGAATGCTGCTGTCAGGCAGAGGGATGGATTTGATTGTCTGTCTGAATCCCTCTTTATTGTCTGTGCCTCATTTTCAGTTGAAGGTGCCCACTGTTCAGATTTGTGTAATCCTTGACATGGACATGTGTCCATAAAGGATATTTTGCCCTCAGTTCTTACATGCTGTTTGATGTTGAGCGTGAGCTGTTTCATTCTAAAGCAGCACAAGGCCAAGTACCAGCTGATATTCTCAAGGTAACATGACCCCAAGAAAATGTTTACCCCAGCTGACCCTCTACTATTCAGTAATGCATATTCTCCCACAGATACTGTCAGACGCTATTTTCTAGTCAGATACTCTCTGATGGTTGGATGGTAACAAGAGCAAGGGCTGATGTGGATATCTGGAACAAAGGATTGAATTTATCAGCAAGCTAACCAAGGTAAGAAAGTATTTTGTCTGCTGATATTGCCTAACAACCTGAAGATTCATCCAGCCCTTCAGGGGTTGGCATGATGATGCCTTTGATGGGAGGTGGAGGTATATTATTGGTTAAATATTCCATTTTTTCTTCTTAGTTTACCAGCATTTTTCTAGCATTGTTCAGGTTTATTCAGCAGAAAATTTCCTGAAACCATGTTGTCATTTCAGCAATGATGGTACTTGCAGCAGGTGAGTGTCAGTGGCATGTTGTGAAATCTATCTGAACCCTCTGTGCACTCTTTTCATTTACAGTGGAATTACTGAAAGGTGAATGAATTACTCTGGGTAGATACCTCTACAGCCTGCAAATAAGAGAAAAAGGGAAGAAGCAGTTCTTCCAAGAACAGCTTGTGATTATTGTAAGATGGAGCTATCAGATCACCTTCCTCTGGTTTTAAAACCAGACACTGCAAAGGCCCTTGAGATGTGCAGCTCTACAGGAACAGATCTTACCCGCATCTGCAGGAGACATCAAAATATCCATGTACAGCACAGAGGTTACATCACGTGCGGCTGGAGCTTGGAGCTTACTTAGCTGCTCATTTGAGATAAGGATTATGGGCCTGTGAACTGAGCTGAAATTTGCTTCAGGGTCAGATTTGTAGGAGGTTTTGAGTCAAATATTGGTTTGTTTGGGACTACTCAACTCTCAGTAGATTAGACAGAAAAATTCCCCTGAAGGAGATTGCAGGGGGTCCTCCAGAAATTGTTGAATGAGGGATTGTGGCACTCTGCTCTCAGCCCTTGTTCTGATGTCATATAGAAGCAGTTCTGACAGTAAATGAATATTGTTAAATATTGTAAACTTGAGCTGACAAGCCAAAGGCAGCCATAATCACTGCTACCCCAACACCCTCTGTGTCCGCAAGTATCTCCCAACACTGGGTGTGTTTTAGCAGCACTGGCAGGATCAGCATTTGACCTTTGCACCTCTTCAGTCACTGATCCCAATTGCTGATCACAGCATGTGAAGAAGCAATTAAATATGAAAAAGGTAATTTGAGGCCTCAGTCCTGTATGACACTGAGTGAGCGTGCCTGTACATTCCTATGACTCAGCTGGACATAGGTCTGGGCCAGTTGAGATCACTCACCATCTTGCAGGATGAAACCATGGAATCAAACAACAACACTTCTAATCAATAGCAGAGACAGAAAAAGTGGACTTATTATGAGTACTGATTGAAAAACCAGATTAAGAATAATTGAGGACAACATCAGAGAGATGAGGAAACTTTTATACCTTTGGGACTGCTGCTCTAGCACACTTTTTTTTACAGTTTTCTGCCAGGAAAAAAAATCTATTGGCTTTTGGTGTCAGTTTTAGCAGACCACAGAGTGCTCTGATAACTGCTGTTGTAAAGAGGGATGTGACAAATCCACATTTGAGATACAGTGAGTGCCAAATGCGGTGTTTCTCTCTGACTCACAAGTATGGATGTGTGTCAGTGCAAGGCAGAGCTTGAGAGCAGTTACAGTGGCTACAATGGGAGTGGGAGAGATGAGAAATTAATGCTGTCACTAAAAAGCAGGTCACAGCTCAGAGAAGAACAGAGAAGCAACACTGCAAGTGTCATTATTTTAGTCTTAAGACACCTTTTCTTTTATCATTTAATAGCATTTACAGAAAGATGTTTAGGTTACACTTTCAGGATTCCTTTCCTTACAAGTTTTTATACACTTATTTTTTCGATCTCTGATAGCTATATTAGAGTCACCTTTGTAAAAATTACTTGTGATGTCCAGAGGAGATAACTAAAATTGCAGCTGGGAAGTAACAGCAGGAGTAATGAGCTCTTGAAACCAATCTTCACCATTTTCATGTGAATAACTTGACAGTAACAGATCAGGAAAATAAAAATCAGGAAATAGAAAGAAGGTGATGTAAAACATAAGTGTAAAAGAAAACACTCATAATAGCAGGAATAGAATTGGTGGGCCAAACCAGGTAAAGTGATACCAAGAAATTCTCCTGCATTTAGTTCTTCCCTTTGTTGCAGATAATGAAGTGGTCATCACAGAAAGGAATATAATGAATTCTGGAAAAGAAGACTGCAATGTTAGCTGTTGAGTTTGGTGACATTTTTTGAAAAACTGTCTAGAAGAAATAAGAAAGAATTGGATGAGAATGAGAACTTTAAGTAAAACAAAAGATGTTGGACATATTCCATAGTGTCAGCTGCCATTCCACTGCCATGTGAATTCAGAGAGGGTGGCTCCTTTTGGCCTCTGAGGCATCACTCAACAATAAAACCATGAAGGTTCCAGCCATATTTCATCTGGCCTTTCTCTGATGGTGACCAGCAGGAGCTATAGGGAGGAGTACAAGAACAAGTAGTATTTTCCCCACATCACTTTATAAAAACACAGTCTTCACCTGCAGGTTGTGAGTACAGTGTTTTGGCATTGCTATGAGAGAGAGTGCTTGTGATGATGCTGTGGCATTAACAGACTGAGTCCTCTAAACACATTTTCCATGTAAAGCAATAGAACACTCACTCTGTCAATACAAATTTGGATGATTATGGCATCTTATGAAAGGGTTTGCTGTTATTCAAGTTTTGGTGATTTTTCACAAAAAGAGTAGTATATCAGTATATTTATGTGCACAGAAGGGAAAACCACAAAACTCTAGACCAGAAATGGATTTATTTATAAGTTATGAAACCCAAAGTTATCCTTAAATACAAATAGAAATAGAAACAAACCGAAAGCTTGTACAAAGGTAACATAAGAATGAATAAGTGAACAAGGTCATGCTGGAATCATGTGAATAGAACTCGTGATTTTCTGTGATCACTAACTTGCATTTAAAGTGAAACTAGGGCCTTACCCCTGTGATTTACAATGCACAGGGAATCTGGAAGTTTTGCCCACACTGAAAATCCATTGTTTATTGTGAATCCTATGGGCTTGCTATTACAAATCTATGTCCATGTAAAACAGGGTAAAATACTAATTGCTAATGTTTTTCATTCAGCTGGCTTTTCCAGCAATGTTTCAGCAACCATGGTTCAGCAGCCTGTGTGCCATATGTGAACACGTCTGAGTTATGAATATGCTGAATTTCTTTCCAAAGAAAATTTATTCTCCAGGGACTTTGAGCTCAGCATGGGTGAAAAAGTAAGCATGAAGATCAGAAGGCTTTTCCTTAATTCTGGATTGATTCAGATGCTTTAATATAATATTGTTAAGTTTCTTCAGCTCTTCTATGTTCTTCTTTTCAGATAGTAGTCTGCTTGATATTTGGTCCACCTCATTTCTAGTTTGAACTTGAAAAGAAGAATGTACCACATTAAATTGGCAACATTTAAGTCAATAGCATGACTACTCTCACTTGTATTCCTGTGAGACTTTGTAAGGAATTATGATGACTAAAAATATTAAACATGAAAACAACTACAAAACCTAATAATAAGAAGTTATACATCTGGTGGGCTTACCTGCTCACTGCATTCTTCTTTGCTTATTTGCTAGATTCTTCTTTTAGTTTAGTGCAGAGTAATAAAATTATATATGGATCAGATAATTTTTGCAGTTTTCAGAAACATATCCATTAGCGTCAACAGGGAAATTTCTCATTTTGGGGCTCAAGACCCAATTTGTGGCATGTATGTGCATCTATTTTATTTTAAATAAAATAAAAATTCTTGCAAATACTGGTATTTCGAGGCCAGCCTCCTCTGGCATGCCAATATGCACTCTTGAAGCTATTTTTATTTTGGCCTTCTGAAGTTAAAAAATTTACCCATGGACTTTGAAGCTTAAGTGCAATAGTAGCAAGGCTAAATGAACCTATGCCTGTGGTTTGCAAACATCTCAGATTATAGAACACACTACATCTTTATGTATCTAATAAAACCTTGTAACATAAACTGAAACACCACTGGAAATCAGTTTCAAAAACCCAGGCCTCCACCAACCTGAGTGGAAGCAAACTGCTTTAATTTTTTAAGAATTTTTTTTCACTTTAGTTTATAATTTTTCCACTAGAGCAACCCAGTACTAATTTTTCTATACCAAGGCTCTACTTTTAGCAGCTTCATGTTAAATAAATCTGAAATTCAAGTAGGAGGTATTTCAATTAGGCTTTTACAAACATGTTACTTAAAATCTGCTTTATGTTCTTTACTTGTCTGATATTCCTTTGAGAGCCTGTAAAAAAATTTAGTCAAGGGTTAAGATTTCCTGGCCTAAAAGAAAAATCAGGATTTTTGCTATGTTTCAGCAAATTCCCTACTACAGGATATAAGAAATCTTGATTTCATATGAGTTCCAACTCTTTCAAAATAGTCTTGTAAATTGAAATAATGCACCTCAGATTCTATTCAATATTATTAGCTCAGAAAACCCCAAGATGAGAAGGGTTCCATTAACCAGCCATGTCTTCAGATAAACCTGCCTGATCAGCCCTAAAAAACTGGAACAGTTTTTTAGGGCTGATCTATAGACCCAATGCTCCATGCAAATCTTAATAAATGTCTAATTCTTTTTCTTATGCTTAAGACTTTCTTAGTTCCAAATCAATTTCCAGGCAGTACTTTGATGACAAAGGGTCAGGTCTCCCTTCAGGTAGCCTGATTTAAGTGTTAGCCAGGGTAGAATTCCAGTTTCAGTGGAATGACCCCAATACTGAGTTTTATCTGGAAAGCAATGGGAGGCACATTGCCAAAGTATCTCACTGCCTTACAATTACCTTTACATTTTAATTTCATTTCCAGCCAGCATTTTTAGCAAGACAGTATAATGCTGCTGAGACAAAATTCTTCACAGCTGTTGAAGCTCACAAATCCTTAGCACTAAGAATAAAATTGTGCCTTTCAGCCCTGAGAGCGTGTTGTTTTCCTGTGCTTCTGCCCCAGGACCACGACCCAGTGCCCAGAACCAGCCAAAGCCTTTGACCATGCAAACAGGAGCAGCATGTGACAGGGTAGCGTGACACATTTCAGCAAAGTTATTTTCCCAATTGGCCCTACATTTTCAAGAACTACTCTTTGGTTTACTTACATATTAAGAATATTACAAATGAAACAAGTGCCAAACTGACGGTCAGAGTAAGAACAAAGGTGACGAAGAACAAACGCTGGTTTCCTGCGTTGCTCCCTGCCATACTTTCTCCAGCACCACCAGTGTTGTTTTCCTGGTCTGTTAAGAGATGGCAAACCATTTAGTGATACAGCTTTTTAAGGTTGGTTAGGATAAGCATAACAAAATGGTTCTGGCATCACGAAATGATGCAGAATACATCATATATTTGGCCAACAGGTTTTATTCTGTGATATTTCATGAAAGGGGAAGAAATTAGCTTTAACTCAGCTTGAATTTGGAAATGTAAAAAATTATCCATCTGTTACAGCTGTTAGAATACATTCAACAAAAATGTTTCCATGTTGAAATACAGTGTTTTGTTGAAGTTGACCTGTTTTACAGTTCAGAGTTTTACAGCTGTTTTACATGCACAAAGGTTGCAATGAAGTTTTCATCGGGCAGATTTGTAAGGGCTTGATTGTATTTAACCTTTTCAAAAGGGAAGAAAGCGAAATTCATATTGAAAACCAAGGTACAGATTCATCATACACATTCATCCTCTAGATATGCTTCTTTTTCTGTTTAATGAGAAGCATCCCTGGGATTATTAATCTCCCGAAGTAAACGCCTCAGTTAAGCCCCTAATGTTGGATAGAATGAATTTAGGTCTTGACTGTTTTATCTTAAAACAAATGTTTCCAATGTTCTTCTTCATCTTTAGGATCTGTTGGTTTCATTCCAGTAAAGAATGAGGCCCCAATCCTCCCAATTGTCAGGAATGGAACAGACTCTCACATAGACTTCAGATGTTGTTCTTAGAGCACAGGAAGGATGAGGGGAAAAAGAAAGGCACTTTCAGTGCTCACCTTGAATCAGCTCAACAAGCCAGTTCATTGCTTTTTAAAGAATGTGTTGCATATATAGGGAAATTCAGTAGTTTCTCTCATAGAAACAGTTGCAATCAATGGGAGGTGGCAGTAAGCCCCAAAGATAACAAGTCAAGTGAACACCATGAGAAAATTCATGTGAATGTAAAAAATTTACACTTGAGCCATATTTGTTGAATCTTAAGTTTGTACACCACTGTAATAACTTACAAAGATTTGGGTTTATTTTCTATTTTGGAGGGAGGGGAAAGCTAATGAAATTTCACTTTGGTGTCAGTCTCATACATATCAAAATTACATGCAAATTACTGTAATTTATCCTTCTGTAATTGCTCTCTTGCCATTCTGAAAGGGAGAGTAGTGTGTGCATCTGTGCAAACTGTATTTCTAGGTCACGTTCCTGTTTTAGCTGGTGGAAATCTCTGAGGTCTTTGCAACTGAGCCTGTAGTGATAAAGCTGAGGAAAGGCTGCATATGCCATTACAGGACTTTAATAATTACCCTACCTAGGGCTGAGAAATTCACTGAGCTGGTCGTTTTCTGGGAATATTTCTGTTTTTCTTTATTTTGTGTTTAACACACTCCTGTCTGTGAGTAAGCTGCAATATTTTCATGTTTCTCCTTTGAGGTTCTATTCTTATTTGCTTAGCATTCATAACTACTGCACCATATAATAAGTGTCTGCACCAATATTGTTTTCTAATCTGAATAATACGGATGGGCAGGGCCTGATTCTGCTGCCTGCCAAGCATCCTAAGTTATCAATAGTGGTCTCAAAAGTGGTCTGAGCTTGCTCTGCCTAATGAATACTTCTTATTATTTCATCAGGCTGAACGTGCCAGGCTGCAGTGTTGTGAGGAATTGGTGAGCACACATTCTTGTCAAACTGCAAGCAGTGGGAACATTTTATCACCTAAAACATGAAATTACTGCATGGCTCCTACCGAAGCAACTAAACAGCATATTCATTTTAAACAGCTTTGGATATGTCTCTGATTTTCTGGCAAGAGAACCAGAGTTTTATGCTGCTGGGTAAGTTAGCTGACAGGATGAGATATCTACAGACTTTCCAAGCTTAAAAGATACATTAGAAGAATAATCCTAGAAGGAACCAAAGGATCTTACAAATTTATTAATAAAATATTTATTAAGCTACCATTTTTTACTGCTGAAATGTAGGGAGGGGCACGCATGTGATTATTCCAGAGAATCACATATGTTTCCACAGAACCTTGTACATTTACCCTAAAAGTAAATAATACTGTCCAATAAAATTGCAAAAGAAAGCAAAACAGTCAAACTAGAAGGAGTTTCTCAAAATTAAAATTTATATATGCCATTGTCTCATTTTCCATGTGTAGAAGTGACAATATCAAGTTAATTTGTTTATGAAAAATTAGTACTTTATGTCTAAAATATTTGCATTAAATGCGGGAACCAGCACCACTCAGCTAGTTGGATTAGGAAAATTTAGGGGACTTGAGAAAATATTAAAGACCCATAATTAGAAGCATGATTAAATTATGGCTACATTTTAACATGGCTGCTGATCTATAAATTTCTTCACTCAAATTTACCATTACAATAAGGGAAATAAAAGCAGACTCAAATATTTTTATGTGGAATGTTGCTGAAGAGCTCCAGGTTTTAAGATATTTTCATGTCACAAAGAAGTCAAATTGTAGCTATCACTGGGTGAAAATATTCTTGTTGCTGCAAGAAATCAAAGGCAAAAAGCCTTATCAAACCAGTAGAAATGTGAGAGCCATAACTGAAACTGTGAGTAAAGAAAGTTCAGAAAATAAAATGCTTAAAGGTTTCACAGGATATTTCAGGTAACAGGTTTGAGTTCTTAGGAGATGAATCTTAAAGGAATGAGCAGAAATTCTCAGGTGCTTCTATTGCCATGTATGAATTTTAGTGCTTGGGAAGAGCTATGATGCTATTTATATAGTAGGTGTATATTGGGCTTCACTAGACACATTATTCTGCAAGAGATCACCTCATAAATCCCAACTGAAATAGAAGATAAGATCAGGTTTGAAAGCAAATCCCTATCTAAATGCAAGGATTTTCAGGAACCTAAAGCGGAAATACTCAGCTAAATCATTGTCTGATCTGTCTAAATTATGCCATTTTCAATCTTTTCCTTTTCCTACATTTTTCAGTACAGAGCTTGGCATGCCTATTGGCCTATTAGGCTGTTGACATCAGTGAGACACAATATGGATTGTATGTACAGAAATCCACAGATCACCTATCATACATACCTAGTGAATGCTGGGACTCAGCTGGACAAACATTTAACTTGTTTAGGTTGTTTAGGGAATCAACTACATAAAGTTTTCCTTCTTCATGAGTATCAGGCAGGTTAAATTCCAAGGAAGGCCTCTCCATTGTCTCTAAAAGAAACAATAATTTAAAAGGTAAATTAACACATGGCTGTGGGAAATAACTTGTAAGAGTTGGTATCCTGTTCTAAGGAAATACTGAGCAGCCTAAACAATCCCTAAAATACAGAGACTTGAAGGACTAGCACACTTACTAGATCTTGAAGGCAGGGACAACTCAATACATAGCACTTATTTATTCTTGGAAATCTTTGATGATTAAAACATTTCAGTTTTGCATTGTATTTGTGCACATATGTGTGTGTATGGGGAAAGAGAGAAAGAGAAAAGTCAAATTGACTGGCTCCAGCATTGATTTGAATGGTACCTATTTAGTGTATTATCCTTTGATTTGGTGAGTACGTGGTAAGAGGAGGTGTGAGATCCTGACCCCAGGGAAAGCCAAACCTTCACTAACACTTCCAGGACAGATGTCACTCAGGTCCTCTTCTACCAGCATCAAGTAATTGAGACATAAAACAGGGAGAGCAGGTATGAATGTAGGAGATAAGCAACAAGAATATGTCTGTTTATACACTTTAGAATATCACTGTGAAGAAAATTTATATACCTTAGAATATCAATATTATCTGTGAACAAATATAGTCTACTTCACACTTTTGGACAAATTTTAAAAGCTTTTTCTTCAGACTGGTAGGCCTTGCTTTAAAAAAGGCACTGGATGAAGTTCAATTAGTAAAAGCAATTTCTCTGGAGAGTCTGGGTGCATGAACTCAGTGAATGATTCTTAACATAAATACAGTTTCGAAAGAAGATTATATATAGAAAAAAGGCAATATCTAGGGAGGCGGCTTCTATGTATTGCATATTATTCCTTATCAGTCTTTTGCTTTCTTTACACTACTGTGATTGTAAAAATGTCTTCCAGAAACAATCTACACTTCTAGCCATAAGGAGATGCAGGCATTCTAAGTAGCCATGTTTGTCTACAATTGTCACTGCAAACTCCCTCTGTAATTACTAAAGAAAAATATATTCCTCCAGATAATATCCCTCTTATTCTAAGATATTCCTTTCTCACCTTAGAATCACAGCCTAAATGTAGATTTTTCTTGCTAGTGAATGTAAGCAGGGTCCCCCCACAGATTGGTTTAAATTTGGATTAGAATGCATCTTACCCATTTAGTATTTTATAAAGCTCCCAAGTTCAATTTTATCTGCCAACATAAATCAGCACTTTGTGGGATTCAAACCTCTCTTGATGACACGTGTTAAGCACCTAAGGGGGATTTCTCAATCCTAGATGGGTTAACTTTCCTCTTGACATGCTTCTGAGCCTTTTCTTCCTCTCCAAGGAACACAGAACACAGTGTGACCAGATTCCTAGCAAAATACTTACATCAAAACCTAATTGTTTGCAGAAAACCCTTGCTCCTTCCCTCCTCAAACCAAATGCAGAAGATCACTATAATTCCCCCAAATCTGAGCACACTGCAAAGTAGACGTTCCATGAGCCTCAGTAAGTCTCAAGACTAAGCACTGAAAGCAATCCTGAAAACAGGGCTTATTCTCCTGCTAGTAGAGACTGACAGGACTATAAGGATACTTCCATATTTCTTTTTAAAAGCCCATAAGAAAAGTTTACAACTTACGTTTTTCTCTGTTCAGAAGTGTTTCTTCAAAGTGCAAAGAAAATGTAGAAAAGCTGGCATGAGAGGGGTTAACCTTACCTAGTATATGATCTTTGGGTAGATCTTTGAAAGCAGTAACTTCAGGACAGATGGCTGTGCCCACGGTCCTTCCTCTAGAGATGGCATGGCACCAGGCAGCAGAGTCTGAGCCACGTCCCCACCAGAGCTGGCTCTGCCCTGCTGTGTCCCCACAGGCACATCCTCAGCCAACACTGTCATGATGGAGCCCTGTGTTTGAGCAGTGTGCCAAAAGTCACCACTGCACGCACAAAGGCTGCTGGTTATTTTTAGATTCTGAAGAGCAGTTGTTTCTCTCTTTTGATTAATACCTCCCTGCAGCTTTAGGGAAGACTCTTCTTAACAGCTTGAGGTGTAATAAATGCGACTACCTTTGATTCATTAGTATTATGAATTCTATTTTTCTGCACTTATTATTTAAGTATTTGCACATGTAAACACAGTGAAGATTACCATTATTAATTAAAGATTATATTACATTTGTTGGATTCCATTGATGTGTCAAAAGAAAAAGGATACAAATATTAGTGCAACTGGACAAAAGTGTTGATTATATTCCCAACAAATCAATCTAAACATTGGGACCTTTGGATTCATTGTATCTTGTACTTTGACCTTGCCTGAAGACTTTTTTCCCCAAAACAACTTTTAAATTTCTTCCTAAGTTGTTGTGGTAAAAAAAAAAACTTGGAATGAAAACACACTGAGAATTCTTCACACAAAAAAAAAAGGAAATAAAATCTGAAAGGTTAAAAAATATGAGAATGAAACATTACTTACAACATAATTACATTCAGGTAATGTGCCAGTATGGAAGAAATCAGCCAGTGAAAATCATGTGAAGAAAACTTGTTCTGCAGTTCCTCTCTCTACTTTTAGTCCCATAGGAACCTGTCAAGTCCTGCAGTACCCATAAAGATAGCTGTGAAACAGACTGCCCCTCTCAGTCTATATTTAGAGTTCAGCTTGGCCAAATATGCTCACCTCTCAATATTGATCTGCTAAACAGAAAGCAGCACATACACAGCTGATTTTTATTATATTGGAATTGATAATATCCCACCATGGAGAATGAAGGTTTTTACTGATGATCAGTATTTCACCAATGTTTTGGTTAGTGCCAAACCTCTTGGCTTTAGTGCTTGTCTAAACTGCATTTGCTATGCAGAAGAGTCATATCTACAACACTGTAGCTATGAGTAACCACTTTGCTATGCAGAAGAGTCATATCTACAGTATTGCAGTCATGAGTATTTTAAAGTCATAGACCAGAAAAACCAGGGTCTTTCCCCCTTCTCCCATACACTTCATGAATTCAAGTGAGACAGTATTATGTGGTAGACTAATTTGTCTGGCATCCTTGGCTGTTCAAAGATTAAATGCTGATGAACTGGTGGTGAGTAGTGCTCCTTTGCTGACAGTACTTATGATCACTTTTTTCTTGCTGACATTGCAAAAGGCAGTGTTACAGCACATCATACTGACAGGCAGCTAACAGGCAGAGGGACTGCAGCTCAACACCACAAATCCTTTCTGAAGCTGCCCCCATGTCTAAAATTTTGAACTCTTTAAACTGCCTACAAACATATTTCTCTCTCAGGAAACAAAAGAGAATAAATCACCCGACTCGTATTTCCCACCCTAAGCTGACAAGTTCTATTGCTCAGAATCGCTCCCTTTCTGCAGGAGTCTCCTGAAGTCCTCCCTCCAAATAAGGATGTGCAAGCCAGGAGAAAAAAAAAAAAAATCCGTGTGGCATCTATGCCCAAAAACTCCTGACACCAAAATACTTGTAAGACAAGGACCCAGACTTCTCCAGCTGAAAAGGTCTGCAAACCCAAGGGATGTCTGCAGGGCTGCAGAAGAGCCAGCTCTGCAAACAGCACTGGAAGGCACATGCGTGGCAGCTGCAGGGCACCAAGGAAAAGGGCAACCTCCTGCTTGGCCCCCTGACAGGAGGTGCTGCACAAACGCTGGACAGGAAGCCACCAAAAGTGCCTGGCAAAGGTCACCAAATGTGACTATGCAGCAGCTGCAGGAGACACCAACAGGCTCAAGAGAATGGTTTTGCTCAAAAGGAATGTCTTTGGCCAGGCAAGCACAGGCACACAGCTTCACCTCATTCAAGAATCAGTTTTTGCTCTGCTTGGATGACACATGTTCCATCATCAGTTTTCAGTTCAAGGTTTTGTGTAGTCCAAGTGATCAGTTTTGCAAGCCAAACAAGTTCTTATATAGCGGATTTTTGGGGAAAAAAACCAGGTTCAAGTAGAAGGTATAGTATTCATTGACCTTCTTGAATAGGTTCAGCTGTAATCAGAAACTGGGAGGGTAAAAAAAAAAAAACCACAACCACTCCACCCCAAACTCAACTTTCCCTTATCAGAGCAGGCCACAGTTTCCAGAGGGCAGTGTTATTTTCAATGCAATGTTTACTTCATCTGGTGACAAATATTATAAGAATGTTTATTTAAACAAGCACTTTTACAGATCTTCAGGTTCAGAAGCTCCAGCTAGCCAGATTTTAGTGCCTTTATTATGTAACACCCCCCACTATTCCTAAGTCAGTTCTCAGCTACTGGCAGATTTCAATCCTATAGAACCAGAAATTTAGGTTAGAAGAGTAGTTTTCAACATGATGAACACAGGGAAGCTGGAATGGTTCCTCTAAAATAAAGGACAATATGTTTTGCAGCACCAAAACTAGAAAACATTTGACCATTAGAGAAGCAATGGCAAATCAAGATTAGGTGGTTGTGCAGAGCACACGCAAGTATAAGACCCCTTTGAAATATAATAAGTGTGACTTGCACAGAGCATCTACTAACACACTGAGAATACCCAAGCACATGTTTGAACCAGCAAATAAACAAACCCATCCCTTTCAACCTTTAGGTTTTGCCAATGTTACAGTGTTTCATTAATGGAGTAATTGCTTTTACACAGAGAGCAGGCAGTGAGAAACATTTTTATTCCAAAAATTAAATATTCAATTTCAGAACACAAGAATCTTACTTTTATTTTACATGGAGGCAAGTATTTGTCATTCACTACTTGACAGTCAGTGGAAGTTACTGAACTTCATAGTCTCTGTCAGGATAAAGTTATACTTACATAGGGATTTCTTGCCTGTCTACCACTAGAGAGTTTTAAAAAGTTACTAAAATAATTTCACACAAACATGGTCATCTTCTCATATTCTTACTAGAGCACTTAGTCAATGACTTTACCTTTATATAAAGAATCCAATCTGACACACAGCATTTGACTAGTTATCCACCCCATTTAATGTATCAGTTACAACATAATTGACTTTGGAGCTAGTGGGGGGCTAATGCAGAGCATTACAATATATCCCTGCACCAAATGTTATATCAATCTATATACAATGTATATGAAACTAAGCAACAACATGCATTATATTTACAGACTATGTAACAAACCCGTGCACAACTGCAAACTGACTACAGAAGTTAAAAAATTCATTTAAAGGTTACAAATTTATTTGAATTATGAAAATTGAATCCCATTGAAAAGGGAATCTAAAAAAATTCCCCCACATCTGCTCTTTTATCACGACATTTACTTCTAGCCTTCGTCCGAGCCTTGAATGCTGCAGAGTTGTACAAGTGCTAAAAAACAAAAAAAGAAAAAAGAATTACATACTGTCATAAGGTTTATGCCTTTAAGAGACTTTTCATGTTACAAAACAAATGAAAATATTCTTTTATGAATCTTTGAAGTTAACTGGTAGGCCTTCTGAAATTTATAATATGTTACCTTTGCACCAAAGGCTCATCTGTGTGTGTATACATATATATAGACAGATATATTTAAAAGAAACTTGGCCTGTGTAAGAAGGCTGAACTAGGAGTAGTTCTGGAAGCCAGTCAGTCTTGAACATCAAGCAGGTATCATGTAGGTTACATTTACCCTCAGATTAAAGTTGACTGCACCGTTCCCCAAACGATATGCAGGTTAAATGCATTCACTATCAACAGAACAAGGCTAACCTCCTAGAGCCCATATCACATTGCTGAGTTTGGGACACTGTCTTTATAAAAACTCAAGTTTCCACAGCTTTCTGTAGGTCCCTCCCCAAAAAATATGTATCTCTCAGAAGAGACCAAGTTTCACATATGTGGAGCATGAATCTAGTACTCATCAGCAACCACATCAACCTCGAGACCCCTTGGAGAAAACACAGAAGCAGACACATACCCAGGGGAAAATGTAAGGGTCCATAGATGCATAAAAGTAAGGCTGGGCTTCATTCAGGACAATATGAGCCACTCTTAGAACTACAGTGTAACAACGACAGCTTCTGAAGTGCAGGAGTAATTAGAGTAGGAAGTAAAGAAAATTCATTTCAGTGCAATAACCTACCCTTTCAAAACGGGATATCTTCATTGTTTTAAGAGTTGCAGCATCCAGCATTACTGGTGGACCGAGCTCAAACACATTCCGAAGAAAGTCATTTGACTAAACGAGAAACACACCAAATGATTAGCTTCCCTTCTAATTATCAAGTCTCTAAAGTTGACTACTGTAAAATATTAAGTATTCCAGTAAGAAATACTAAGATTTCTGTCAAATTGCTGCTATCTTTTGCAATTAAGTCAAGAACACTTACTCCTTCAACCAGAGAAAAGCTAAAACAGCCACCTTGAAAAGACAGACAGCTCCTCCTGCCTCCTTTGATATTTTAGTCCTAGAAAATGAGACACTCCTCTGTTCTACACAAAACCAGGCAGCTGAACAGACCTGTATGGTTTCACAACACACAATTTTTAAAGTATCTGTCTGTGAAAGTAGTACTTGAAAAAATTGAAAAACCTGCTAGATGTCTGAGCTGCCTCGGTCACACACAAATTCATTAACACAGGACTGAAGATTTTAACCCCATGATTATCACAGCAATTTGGGAGCATATATTCCTAAACGACAGCTCCTGCTTCTGTTACATATGTAAACAGATGACTAGTAAACAAGCAGTTCCCAGAACAGAGATAAAGATTTACGCCTTCTCTTCTGGAATGCTGTCACCATTGGGCTGCAAGCTGTGTTCATTATTTTTGACTAAAACTTTCCCTTTCTTTTATAGGTTTGAACAGAAAGGGTGGAGGCATGCAGTTTTATAGCAGCCAGACAACTGTACCACTCTGCTGAAAGAGAGCATAAGGATTCAGGA